ATGTCAAGAATATACGATGGACGGACCAATTGCACTTCAGTCTTTGAAACTGAAAACTTAAGTGACAAGATTCTCTCTTAATTTCTCTTCTCTCTACTATGAGAATGTCAAGAATATAGGATACCCGGACCAACTGATAAGCGAAACTGGATAAGTAATGCTTTTCACGAAGTGCACGTTTTTATATACTTGAGTCTTACATAATTGAGTAATGAAGAATGGTCTCCAATTTCTACTTACTTCAGATCCGTTGAAGCATTTCCTTTGTAATTTTAATAAACGCTTATCAATGTATAGACATTAAACGTGGATACTCAACTCAAGGTCAACCTAGATTCGTTAAAACATATTCAATTTATCTCGTTATGATTTTTAAAAAGTGTGTTTTCGAGTCATTAGAAATTTATTCTGTATTTCTTCGAATTGCTATTGAAATTGTTCGGCAGCATCAATACCACCCAAGCCAACATTTAAGAAACGCTTGGGACTTGGTCAAGAAAGATGTTTATTGCGATGGATAAGAAGCAGTCAGGAAAATGCAAACACCTTGGTGACGAAAAATCGGGAGAAGCTAGCGGCGGGTCCAATTTTTAATGTGGATGTGCATGCAGATGCAAAAAGCAAGGTATCGTGACCAGGGCATGATCCGATACCAACAGCATCCAACTTAATAAGAAAAGCAAAAACAAAATATGATCTTGTGTTTGATTTGTTCTTATGCATTGGTGTCGACCAGTCAAGTGTGTTAGGCACCTTGTATAATCTATTCAAACGTTCGATGACGAATGATGTAAATCATTATTCTGCCGGTGCTAGTGAGCTTAAAAAATTTCACCAAAATGTCTCAAAAATCGTGACATGGAAACTGAATACAAAATGTACGGACAGACAAGGTTAAATCGATTTGAAAAGTAATTCTGCAAAGATCGGCATGACAAAAAGTGGGCGTATCCTTTCGGGTGTTAACTTAACATACTTTACGCTACAAATGTTACACCACAAGGTTGAGAATCTTAAATCAATTGTTGGGAAAAATCTTCCTAGCAGCCTAACTGGGTGTCGATGCGTACAGCGATATTATGCCAAAGGTTCTCTTAATTGTGGCTAATTAATCGTTTAAAATAAATTTTACTTTCCTTACACAGTATCACCATAAATTTCAATCGATTCCCATTATCAACTCATATTAAGTTTGTGTAGAAAAATGCGAGAATCGAAAAGTCAGTCTTCATACTTTCATACTTTTTGAGTTCAAACTCTATTCTGGAAATTCTAGTATACATAGTTTTTAATAGATTTAGTCTTCGCTTTTATTGCTTTCAATGTCTGTAGCCGGCAGGATTTGTATAAATCGCTGATAAGTGACACCTTAAAGAGACGAGATGACATTATGAAATTAACGTTAAACGTGTTTGCAAATACCCAAGCTTAAAGTTGCCATAGATTATTCCTTTGTTAACGACTCACAAGTCCTTCCGTAATAAGCAGAATTGCAAAAGTGCAACTTATTGAATACCATCAACAAGGCAAAAAATCAAGTTACAGCAAACAAAGGAAATGATAAGATTGTCAGAAACGTGGAAAATGTCAAAAGGGAAATGGGAAATGGGCAAAATTTTGCTGAAAAGATCTTCTATTGAGGCATTCTTCTAATTGGAATTGTAAAGGTAGCTTAGAAGAGACTCCTAATAAAAACAGGATTTAAAAACAACTTGTTAACTTGTTTGTATCCCCCGTCATCAGCAAATGACAGGAATGACAGGATAACGCCTCATTTCTTTCTCTTTCATTCGTAACGCTCGGAAGTATTTACTGAGAGACTCTATAAACTGTTTACAGTCGGGAAAAGTGTGAAATTCTTAATCGTCTCCATTGTCTGTTGTCCGTCTATTTGTTCGTCTGTTTGCTATCTGTTGTTCGAACAGTTGATAGCTGTGAATATTGTTGAGCTTAAAATTGTACGCAATGCTGCCACAAGTAAGTTGAAAATTAGTTATCGCATTTCGCTACAAGAATTTCTTACCCTCTTTTTGGAAATAGATAGTTGGTAGGATTTTATATAAAAACAAGTTGAAGTGAATTTCAATGCTCTTGCAAAAGGTAGAATATTCAAATCGAAGCGTTTGACAAACTAAAAAAAAAAAAACCGACAATAGTTTTGCGGTTAGCATGAAACAAACACATGCTTAGTATGTTAAGAAAACCTTAAATGGCATCAATGCAAGCAAAGTGAAATAGACTGAATTGAAATAGAAAAAAAAAAGAAAGGGGGTTAGTGGCTAGTGACTTATGAAAAGACAAAGGCAGGTGTAACGATTCGACCATTTCGAGTTATTCGAAGACTATGGGTGGGGTCGACTCAATTAAATTTTCACAAAAATCTTTCGAGTTGATGACAATTACCCGGTTCAGCCAACGTAGTCACATTCACGTGCTCCGCGATACATAATTAACTCAAACATTTCGATCATAAAACAGGTAAATAAAGATATTCCTACCAGGCTCCTCGGACTTGCTATCTCCCTTTAACGGAGCAACATGCAGTTCAGGTAAGGTGATCTACATTGGCGGCCATCATCAGACTTCAATTAGACAGAAGGCTTTAATTCTGATTGTAAACATTTCGTTAATAGGAAAATTGAAGAAATAAATAATTATTTAAAAAAAAAAAAATAAAAATAAATAAATAAATCAATTAGATTTATAAACGCGCATGAAAAGGTTGAACAAGAAATAATCCCATAAATAAACCATATTTTCGTCCAGGGAGAATATATATATTGTTTTATAGGTAGATATCGACGGCTTACACAGATACAGACGCTCGAAAAATTCGAAATGGAAAAAACTCGAAAAAAACAACTTGTAAAAAACAATGTCGGTGCTCCACAAATTTGGATGAGTGAAGTCAATTTTTTCAGTTACTATGCGGATCAATTATAGAATAAATTAGAAAAATTGTTAAGTTTAAGAGTAACAAGCAAAAAGTTTAAATTTTTTGCTTTTGAAAAAGATATCCTCTCATTTTGAGTTGTGCTGTAGGTGTGTTGCTTAATCGATTTGGCCGATTTTCAATATTAACTTGCGTGCAGGAACTATAAATACTTTTGCATAAATTTGAAGCCGTTATCCGAGTTTTTGTGCGATCGCGACAGATCGATTCGAAATTTGATACTGATGAAAAAATATGCCTTGATAAAATGAATCTACCTTTAACGTCACGCCGATGGATATAATAATAAGGGTTAACAAGTTTGTACTGATTACGACGAACGCGTATGAAAATAGTAACATAAAAGTTTCTGCTGTGCTGTTAGCTGCAAGCAACACGCCCAAGTTTAGCGCGATGATTGAATCAATTATGCCATAATTAACTTTATATACAGTGCCGAGTTTCGCGAATGTCTGCTTCTGCACCCACAATCTCTGCTAATCGATTCCCAAGTTTATTTCATTTTTTTTTTTTTTTTTTTTTTTTTCATCGTCCATATGTACACATGTCTGCAAAGTGTAGAGTAATACATTTAGCTAATTACTATGAAGTTGATTTGAGTGCAATTTCACACAGCATCTCACATTTGATTGCCCCTCATTGCTACAACCAACCAACCAACCAACCAACACACACACAAACACAATAAAATATTCTCTATTCTCTCTACGTAAAGTTGTAATGCATTAAAATGCAAGTTGATCTGAATTTATATTGTATTCATATCCACACACACACATATATATATATATATATATATATATATATATATATATATATATATGCAATTGTACACAGTTATGCCTAGTGTGTGTATGCTTGTAACGGGTTATGTGGCATAAAACAAAAGAAATTTCATGTGTTCAAGCAGTAGAGTAAGAAGGCCAAGTGCGAAAATTCACACAATTCTCCTGATTCACACAACGTACAATGCAATTCTTACTTAAACAAATGTGTGCGTGCGTCTATATGGATATGCGTGAATATATATGCATATATATTTGTATTTATATATATATATATATATATATATATATATATTTGCATATGTATGTGTATATGTTTTGCAAAAGCACAAAACTATGAATAAAGGAAATAAAATGTTCGGCCACATTGCTGGTAGTCAGCCATCTAACCAACCAGCCAACCAACAAACTTGAAATGGCCCCGAAGCTATAGTCTGACAAAAAGAAAGAATGAGAAATAAAAAAAAAAAAAAAAAACAGAAGAAAACTAAATGGCACGAGTTAAACATGGCATCAGCATGTGATGTGAATAGAAAGCATTCAAAAACCAGTCATGCATCTCTGGCAACTAAACAGTACAGCAATCTAGCTTTGCAGTTTTTTTTTTTTTTTTCTTTTCATTCTTGAATTTCGGTTTGCACAAGTATGCACTTATGTATATAGCTTTTGTGTATTTTTATGCCCTCGATCCAAAAAAATATAAAAAATTCCAGGTATACTTAGCTGTTCAGTTCATTTGCAAATTATTCGTAATTTTTATAAATTTTTTTCTTTTTCTTTTTTTTTTTTTTCTTTACTTTTTTTTTTAACTTAATAGCAACCGCTTCTATTTAGTATATACTCTTTTTAAAAAAGAGAACCACACCAAATGAAAGAATTCTTTCACTATATGGATGAAATGATGTTCGACAT